GACCTGTATTTTCCTATGCGGAAGGGTGAGGGGATGCAAGAAGGATCATTGAAATGGATGAGATGAGACCTATATTGAATAATGGTGCGAGTCATTAAAAAAAATAAATAAATAAGATGCAAAGGCTAGCGAGGACAGTATTTAGTTACTTCCTTCATGATAAGTTGTTTTAGTAAGCTTTAATTAAAAAAAAAAAAGGAAAATTGATTTGGTAAGCATTTGACCTAGTGCTTCACAAGCCTGTTGTGGTGATGTCAAATCCAATCTAAGGGATGGAGTACTGTTAGCAACCTATTTTACCATCTTGGTTGACAATGTTACTATTTTCTGTGTAGGCCTGAGTCATTGGGCATAGTTGTTGGTATAGTCTTCTTGGTCTTGGCAATCTTATTTCAATATTTCAACTTCACAGCAGATTCAAATGTAAGTATTCTTTGTCATTTCTGAGCAAGATGATTTGACTATTTATTTCAGCTCCAACTTTTTGTAAGCGGTATAAGTTCATAATTGATATTTGATTTACAAACTATTAAAAATGCAGTGGCTTGTGGAGTACAATGCAGCATTAGCGTCCATCTGCTTTATGATACTACTTGGATTTGTTGATGATGTTCTTGATGTTCCATGGAGAGTGTAAGTATATGATCTTTTAGTATTTTTTTTCCAAAGGTTCATGTTTGTCTACAAGGATATTTTTGTGGTTTTGTTATGTAATGTGATTGGTGGGATGAGCAGGAAATTACTACTCCCATCAATTGCCGCACTTCCTTTGTTAATGGCTTATGCTGGTCACACAACTATAATTATACCAAAGCCACTTGCCCCACATATTGGGATAGAGGTTTTGGATCTTGGTAAACTTCCCTTACCTTCCAAAGGACACTGTAAAAGAAATACTAATTGCTTCATCATTTTGCTATGTTGACCACTTATTGTTGTGGCAGGATGGATATATAAACTATATATGGGGCTTTTGGCTGTTTTTTGCACAAATTCCATCAATATCCATGCAGGAATAAATGGGCTTGAAGTTGGACAGACAGTTGTTATTGCTTCAGCTGTAAGCATAAAAGCTTGTTAGATCAAATCAAATCTGTTTTGGTTGTAGAATATGATAGTTACTGTGCGTTTGCAGATCGTGGTACACAATATCATGCAAATAGGAGGATCAACAGATCCTGAATATAAACAAGCACATGCTTTCTCTATCTACCTAGTTCAGCCCTTGTTAGCTACCTCCTTGGCTTTGCTTTCTTACAACTGGTATTTAATACTGTATCTGTATCTTGTTTTCTCCTGCTTAATAAAAGAGTAACTTGCGGACTCAGTCCGTTGTCTTGCTCATTATAGGTATCCTTCTGCAGTTTTTGTCGGAGACACATATACATACTTTGCTGGAATGACCATGGCTGTAGTTGGGATTTTAGGCCATTATAGGTATATCCTTTACACTTGTATTCTTCTCAAACAAAAGAACTAATTTCTTGTCTCTCCCCATGAGTGTGTAAGGCTTCCTAGGTATGATAAATATGACTAAACTATACTAGGAACATTATAAAATTTGTAATCGTTGAAACTTAGTGATAAATACTTCCTTTTTATGCTGGTCTGACTTGAATAATTTCTTCACTCAACTCAGCTACCCATAGCTTCCAAGGTTGTTCTCATCTGTGAGTGCCATAACACATTTACTGAGGGCACAAAGATTCAACCAAGAAGTGGAATTTGGAACAGTAATCACAAAATACTAAAAGAGGAAAGCGTTGTACTTGTAATCATAAACTTCCTTGTAAACTCATTTGTTTATTTTGTTAGAAACAGGAAAAGAGCAAAACAATTAAGTTCAAAGCATTCATATCTAGTCCAGTCTACTGAGATTTATCATCTTATATCACTGTGGTTATTAATTACCTTATAATTAACTTTAATTTTTGATTCAGTGAAACGTTGTTGATTTTCTTCCTACCTCAAGTTTTGAACTTTCTCTTGTCACTGCCCCAGGTTATTAATCTCTCTCTCTCTCTCTCTCTCTCTCTCTCTCTGTGATAGTTTAGAACTCCCTTAAATGTGTATGACACATGTAACATGCTTTTCTCCAGCTCTCTGGCTATATTCCATGTCCAAGGCACCGTTTGCCAAGGTAGGCTTGGAGGGCCTCTTCCTATTTGTATTGTGGGGACTTGTTTCAGGCATCTTGCTTATATTCATTGGTTGAAAACTTGCCTATCTTCTGTCCAGGTTTGACCCTCAAACTGGACTGCTGACTGGGACTAATGATGGGACACTCGTTAATTTTTTCTTGAGGCAGCTTGGCCAGAAGTCTGAAAAGTCACTTTGTGTTTATCTTCTTGTTTTCCAGGTGATTGTCATCTTTATTTCTTCCCCCTAGTTGCCCGCAACTTCACTCCCTTCTCCCTCCCCTTTTTTCTTCTATTCTTCCAACTTAAATTTGTGTCAAGTACTGCAGTAAATTTATGGGATTTAAGCAAACTCTGTGTTTCTTGGGTCTCAGCTGCATGATGTATCCAGAGGCATAGACATGGTGAACTGCATTAGTCTGTTTAAGGCTCATGTGCAAAAATTAATTTAGACACCAGTTGATTCCTAGTCATGCTTATGTAATTGATTGGAGAATGACACTTAGATCCCAAAATATTGATGTAATGACAGTTAGGTCTCAAAAAAATTGTTCAAATATAAGTTGCAAATATTGATCCAGATACTTGCAATTTGCAAATACTGAGTCTCAGTTGCAAATTATTGGGAGTGATGTGTGAGACTTAAATGTTTGATTTGCAATTGACGTAAATGCTTTTGCAGCTCATCTTTCAACAAAGGTTTTCGAACATAACTGTCATTCAATTGATCTTTTAGGACCTAAGTATCATTCTCCTGAATTGATTCTATTTGTAGATGACACTTGCATCAAATTAACTGTCAAATACCAATTAATGAGTATCATAATCATGTTACAATGAGATTTGCATGTTGAATGGCCTCTATGGTAAGGGTTTTACTTTTTTATTAAAAAAAATTGTAGCAATGACCACTGGTGATTTTGAACCAATTTCTATCACTATGAAAGCTTGCATTTTAGTTTAGCTTATAATCTGAATTCAGATGCTATAATTGTTGTGTGGTATATTGCTCATATCCCCTGTACCCCTCCTATAAACAGGCTATTGCGTGCTGCTTCTGTTTCGTGCTGAGGTATTTCCTTGCTGGATGGTACAAATGAGGGGACTACAAAGTTACCCATGGGAACCACCCCAGCTGCCTAGGTTTGTTGTATAATCATTCTTGTAGAAAAACTGTCTCTAGGAATATAGATTTTGAAGATGAGGGAAGGCCTTTTTTTCAATTTATTTTGGGTTCGTTCGAGAGTTTTGAACATGGTATCCACCTAATTTAATACACCAACACAGCTATTCTCTGGGGATACATTGAAGGACCAAAATTTTGTATACGCTCTTTGAAATGAAGATTTTGAGGAAAGAAAAAGTTAACATTATAATGATCGACAAACCTATTATTCGGAGATTGAAAATTGTTCTCAAGTAAAGGTCATGAAACTTCCCCAGTTCTTTGGTGCCACTACCGTGAACTTTTAAATCGTGGCCTTTCATCTCATGGCTTGACTGCATTAATTGGACCACCTACCATATGTAGGCCGGTATCATCAACCCAAACTTCCAATTTCTTGAACGGATTTCTAAAAATTTTTAACTGTCTGCTGTAAATGTATTTTTTCATTTAAGTTTGTAATTTATAGGTTTAGATATTTGCAATTTCTAATCAGCAATGAAATTTGTGCCAAATTTTCTTTAGATTGAATGCTTCTGGAAATTAATGACAATATCAATCAATAGTAAAAATGAAATCTCGTTTTTGTCAAAATTTGTGACTTAGAAAAACGGTGACAGTGAATAAAGTAATTCTTACTCAGTTGCTCCCCCAGAACCAGAAAATTGTTTTTGATCTGCCTTTAGGGAAATAATAATTTAAGTGTCATTATAATGTTAATCACTCCGTAAAGCTGCACGGTGCAGTTAAAGAAAATTCAAGATGTAATGATGATAATTCATCGAGAGTGTGTGCGCGCGCGCGCGTGTGTGTAATGGTTTATTGAAGTACCATTATCATTAATTCCCTTTTCCCGGTAACATATCTCCGTAATATTTCATAGCTCGTAGTCATATACAAACTATTTTCACAATTTTTTTAAAAGGTTCCTCATTTTCATTGATGACCAAATGTGAGCAGTAAGCATGCAGGATCCAACTGGGGAAAAAAATCAATTTACAAATTATGCTAAGAGGAGAGGAGAAGAAACATTTTCAACTGAGAGAGTCTTTGCACAAAGAGAAGGCAATCATTTGCGGAGAAAGCTTTAAACATTGTCTTTTGCTTTCATGTAATAATTTGTAGAGCTTGAGCGTTTATATCAACTAGAGACGTGAATTTTTACAGAGAATTTCTTTTTGATTTTACTACAAAAAATGAACCATCCATTAGAGGAAAGATACTGCAAGCCAAGGTCCAGAAAAAGTCGAGGAAAGGGATCCAGTGCTAAAGTACTGCTCATTAGATCACGTCAGGTATATAAATCATCATAGTAGGTTTTTAAACGTCGAGGACTCCTTTTGAGTAAAAGCTAAGCTTCATTCCATGAGAAAGCCAAACGTTACAAAGCCAAAACGTAACAAAAGATAAAACACTTACAAGACTAATGCCACTTTCATCATACGCCATCTTCAAGGAAAGATGGAATATAATCAAAAATCCAAAAATCATTTGCTAAAGTATGATTAAACCTAGCTAATCTATCTGTGTAAATATTTGAGTCCCTATACATAAAATTTAAAGAAATATTCCAGTTCCTACACATGTTAAAACTCTTTGATAGCATAAAAGGGCGCATCATCCTTCCTTGATCTTTGCCATTTAACCTTTTAAAAATAGAGCTTTTGTGAAATTTGCTTTACTGATGCAAGTACTAATGCGTTTCATAAGAATAAATAAATAATATGGTAGAGACAATGAACAGATAAAAAAGATCAGAATCAATGATACCGGAATGAACGATTTAGCTATACTAAAATATATCAACGAACAATTCACCTATCAACAAAAGCTCTCTCTCTCTCTCTGTTTCCTTTTTTTTTTTTTGGGGGGGGGGGGAATGGGAGTGATCGCACTATCACATGAGCTCTGGAGATACTGACATAAACACAATCGGGAATAAAAGCTCTCTATCTTTGAACGTACCTGAGAACACTACCCTCAGCCCAAAGAAACGGTCATGTTCATATCTAGGAGGCTACAACAGCTTGCTATCTCCAGAGACGATGTGAAACGGAAAATGAAATTGCTGACCCTCCGCAAAATCCTATCATATTTACCAAATATTCCCGAAACAGCAACTTATTAACTCAAACAGGCTCTTCCCAGTAACAATCCATGGGATTCCTTGCAGTCCAATCCTCACTTTGTCTTCACTTCCCACCTAGCAGTGGCCATGTTGTCCCCATAAGAACGGCCATGAGCAAAACCACCCCTCTTTCCTCCCCTATTGTTTCTCCTTCCCCTACCACCCATCTGATTCTCATTACCATGAAAAGTATTGGTCTGAAAGCCACTTTGTTGTCTGAATTTTTCTCTCCTCTTGTTACCCCCATCAGAGCTTACCCAATTCCCAATACCTCTTCCTTTGCCAATTTTCTGAAAGCCACTTTGTTGTCTCTCCTTCCATTGCCAGGAATCATTCTCTTGGTTGGGCCATTGAGATACTTTTGCAGGTTCTTGAGGGGTCCAGAACTGTTCCCAGGAGCCTTCACCTGTATCAGTATCTTTTGGAAGGTTCGTCTCAGCTTCCCCCCATCCAATGCTGTAATTTACTCCACCATATGCATTCAGGTCAGAATCCCTACCCTGAGGAGGACAATAATTATCTTCAGCTGGGTCTGTCTCAGCTTCCCCCCATGCAGTATCCCCCCATCCAGTGCAGTAATCTACCTGGCCATATACATTCACATCGGAATTCCCCCAAGCTGGAGGCTTTGGGGTGTGAACTTCCACCTGACCTGTAGGCAGTGGGATTTCATCTTCCCCCCAGCCTGTAGGCACTATGACTTCAGCTTCTCCCCAACCAGTAGGGGGCTGGGTTTCAGCTTCCCCCCACCCGGTGCAGAAAAATGATTGGTCCAAGAGGTGAGAACTATCGAGAATCACAACTTCATCACTAGCTTTGACACTGGGAGCTGGTTCTCGTTCCAAGTCCAGAATAAGCTCAGGGTCAACAGTCGAATTCCAATCTACATGTTCAATGTGCATGTCAGGGTCTGGCAAAGATACTTCACAAGGAAGGCCGTTGATCTCTGCCCAAAACTTCTGTTTAGCATTGTCAAATGCCTCTTTACCAGCAGAATCATCCCACTTTAGTATATTGTCATGCAGATAGATATACCTCTTGGTTTCTAACAACTTTGGCCATGGAACAGCAGCACAGAATTCTTTTTCCCATGCAGGTACTGTTGCCTGCCACCTATCGGCTGCACACCAAGAAAAGTAGAACTGTCACTTCAATTCAAAGCATAAAAGGACCTAAGATCATACTAGAACAAGACATGGAAAAAAAAAGAAAAGATTGTCTTGCAGACAAAAACAAACTACAAACATAATTAGCACAATAAATGTCCAAGAAACAATGTATACGGAAGAATAGAAACCACCTTTCATAAAAGGGTCAGCAAATAAGAGTCCGCATAGACATTGCCTTGATCATGATAGTTTCATTTCACCACATCTCATAACATATCAAAAACTGAGGTTCGAGTTGGGCAGAGTCAACAAATAAAGGAAATTTAGTTACACATACAGCTTTATCTAAAAACTCATTGATGCACGTTTTGTTCCCGTAACCATAAGATTTGCTTGATAGATGCTTATTTAGATGTTATCAAAATGTGAAACGGTTTCTCCCCAACAAATGACAGAAGTCAACAATGCCACAACAGAGAATATACAAAACGTCAACCAAAACAAGGAAAGCTCATTATCTTAAATTTTTTTCTATATCGATAGCTCAATGAGACAGTGATGTATTTCTAACACATCATAGAAAGATTCAATTAACAGATAACTACTTTAACGTTGCCAAAATCCAGAAGGTTTCAATCCAAATATGACATAAACCAACATAACAATCAACTAAAATGAAAATTTATGCATCTATAAATAAGCTTTGCCAATTCAAGGAAGTAGGGATCACTTTTTTACGAGCAACTGCATGAATCAATTAGCAGAAATGACATACAAAATGGTAAGATCAAGGCAGCTTGAGTTCAAAACAGACAGCAACCTAAATTTGAGGAAGCAGGGGTCTATGAACTTTGCCAATTCAAGGAAGTAGGAATCAATTGGCAGAAATGAACATTCAAAATGGCAAGACAAGATCAAGGCAGCTTGAGTTCAAAACATACAGCAACCTAACTTGCAACAGGGAATGCAGAAGATCGACTAAATGAAGGAACATCAGTAACGTTAAAGCAACTCCGTAGCACTAAATCAATGAAGTAGGGACCAATCAACTCATAGAGGAAACTAGAACCCCCAACCTACCAACCAAAGCTATTGCAGCACTTTAACCCTTTAAAACCCTTTCCTCGTTATTGAAACTCTTTTCTCAAAAGAAAAAAAAAATTAAATTCCTTGTCATAACCTCATCCGGCCCTTTAGAACTTGAGAACCACACCCAAGTGAACTAGATTATCAAGTTCTGCCCACAAAAGAAGCAATGGTTAAAGCCAGACCGCAGAAACAAATGGCACAGAAAAGCAACAAAGCCATGATTGCTACTTCAAAATGATGCTCAAAATTTGACGGGAACCTAACCTCTTAAGAAAAACCCAGTCAAAAATTTCAAAGCAAAGTTACCATATAACACAAACAAAATCCACGTCTAGCAATTTCATCATTCACCCCACCATTCCACACCTTTAAAAAAAATAGCGTAGACGGGAACTACCAGATACTCATGCAACAAGTCCAAAATAGAGAACAAATATACTGACCCAGAGGAGGCTTTCTGCTGTATGATCTGTTCCACTGACCCACTTGATGACGACTCGCCTCTTGTTGTTTTGTCCAATTGGCCATGACCAGAACCAAAAGAGAAGACCCCCAGAAGAGGAAAACGGACAGCGAGAGAAAAAACTAAGGAACAGAGGCCAGAAAGAGAAATAAGGACTATCAGACAGGGTTATCAGAATTTTGCAGAGCTAAAAAAGAAGAGGAGGAAATTAAGGAGGGGATAGAGAAGGGAGAGTGTAGGGACCCCCCCGAGAGAGGAAACGCTCCGAGGAGTGAAGGAACGATTCCTCAGGGATTGGTTATGAGAGACGCACATGGATGAAGGAAGGAAGGAGAAAGGATCAGAATTTATAGCCCATAGTATTGGATTCACTACTATATCGGTGCGTCATTATTCTAATTTGGTTCCCCCGGTGAGGGCATGAGGACCGAGTCCCTATCTCGCTTCTTTCTTTTCCCTTTTTGCTCTCAAAACTGCTTTTTTTCGTGTAGGTGATTAACCCGACGCTGACGATGACGCACTATGTGCCAAAATCGAAACGGTGTGTCTCGCGCACCCCCTTCCTCCTCCTGTTCCTCCCCCTGGAAACTAACAATCAGTTACGCACCGGACACCCCATCTTTCTTTCCTCTTTCTTCTCTTTTTCCTTTTTAATTTTCATGAAACGCTTGTGCGTTTGATTCAATCACTGACCGGCACAGTGTATCCGAAGTGAAACTGATCAGTGATCAGGCTGTTCAAACTGACTAGGGATTCGTGAAGTTACAGGGATTAGGCGGATTAACATAGGGATGCACATCAACAGTCTGAAACGTGGGCTCCAAGTTTTCAAACTTTGGATAGATTCCAGCGTTTTATCAAAATTGGGTTTCTTAGCTGTAATTTTCATATCAAAACCAGCGTGAACCAGCTTAAAGTCCGCGTGCTCCGTAGAAGTAAGGGTGCTCGAAATTGATTCAAATCCGAAGGATCAAATCAAATCAACCTAAATCGAAATAAATCAATCAAAATTAACCATTGATCAAATCTGTTTTAATTTTTATGATATATAAATCAATTGGTTAAGTTTAATTTTGATTTCAAAATCTAAAAACCAAACCAAACTTAAATCAAGTCTGAAAAAAAAATTATTTATATAGTATTTATCTATTTTGATATTGAGAGATAGATATTATGTTTTGAATATATATGTATAATGTATGGAATTATGAACATAAGTATTAATATTAAATAGTATGATATTTAAAATTTTAGATATTTAAACTTGAGATATTTATATGTTTGATATTTGCTATTAGGTGATGAATTTTGTCTATGGGAATTTAAATAGTACATCTAATATAATTATAAAAATGACTAGTTATTTACCATCATTGTTTTAATTTTTCGCTGCTTGCAATCATAAAATAAATACAATACACTCAAGACTAATGAAATGAAGGCATGAATAAGATTAATATGATATGAATTCATTTGAAATCAAGCAAAAAATTTATGAAAAAGAATGAATATGTATGTATAAGATATGTGATTAATTAAGGTTTAAAGACTTTCCATAAATATGTTTTAATTTAAATAAAGTATAAAATAAGCAAAGACCTTCCATATAATAAAAGCGCCAACAATACATAAATGAATTCAAATTAAAAAAAATCCAACTATTATAAAGACGGGAAAAGAAGGAAAAAAAGTCAAATAAATTTATTAAAATTAATTCAGACATTAACCAAATCGAAACAAAAATTAAACCAAACTATTTTCATAGAAAACAATCAAGTTTCACTCACAAGCAAATTGATTAGTTCAGTTTGATTTAGTTTTTGCTTAAAACCAAACCAAACCAAGCTCGTAAACACTCTTACCGTGGATGAGAAGTTGGTAACAATTTATTCACTCCTTTTTAAAAAAAAAAATATATATATATATAAGATATTTTAATTGAATTATATTTCAATAAATTAATTAATTGTTTTTAAACTCACATTGTTTTTTTATATTTGACATTATATGGTGTTTGATAAAGTGTCTCATCTTAATGTGAAAGATTGAGTGACTTATTTATTAGGTCAAGGGTTATTTTTATTATCAACTTTTATTCAAAAGTTAAGTAGGTACCTTTAATTCAAATATTTTATTAAACTAAAAACCATTTTTCTCCTTTAATTTTACCCAAAATGTCATTGGACACCTTAAACTCTATTATGCATCAAATTTATCCCTAAATGATCAAAATGCTTTTCACCATCACCCTGTCATTAATGTGCACCTGACTCAATTTATAGTCAGTGGGTCCCATAAATTTTTAATATTTTATAATTCTCATCCACTTTCTCTCTCATCCTCCCCCTCTTCCTCTCTCTTCATCATCCTCGTCGAACCTAGTACAATACCTCAATTGTGAAGACCTATGGCAAGATCTCACTCTCACTCACATGAGATCACAATCTCCCAAATCATGTTCTGTTGGTTTTTATCTTCTTCAACGTCTTGGTTTTATTTGTCACTTACAATGTCATCTTGGTTAGTTTCATGTCTCTTCCTACAAAGCACTTTACCCCTGCCAACACTCCTAACTTCATTGCCTTTATCAACTTCGTCACCGATTCCTCCATCACCCTCTCACCCTTGATTAAACAAGTCAAGTTGCAGGCTGTCACTTGTTCTCTTTACAATAAGAATGGCCTTCATAAGCACCACCAAGACTTAATTGCTTTCGACAATATTGTTTTGAGCCCCTCCTCTTCAAGCATCAATGAACTCTCTCGTCAGCTAGGAGTGTAATTAGGTAGCTAATATCATATGGCCTTATGTATAGTTATGTGCACGAAGTTGCTTCTTTTTTTACGCTTTCTACTTAGGAAAGCCCACCATGTTCAATTTTGTGTAGGGCATAATTATTGGCCTCATTTGCATTACTCCCAACACAGGAGATATTAATAACTACCTTCCAATTCTATTTTGGACATTTCATCCTTTACACTTGAACACTTTATTGACCCCATAAATTCACTTTATTGTTTGCATTACTCCAGGAGCAAGTGATCTTTGTTTCTAACAAAAAAAGCAAAGAAGAGCAGAGTATTTTCTTTATAGGTATGGCATCCTCCTCTACACTTAATCCCCTTATTTTGTTAATGCCATATATAATAGTGCTCAAGAAGAAGCTTCCTTCACCCATTATACATCAGGCGAATGTGTGTGTGTGTGTGTGAGAGAGAGAGAGAGAGATGTAATGAACTAGTTATGTCATTGAATGAGAGAAAGGTTTGAACATGGCATGGAAAGGAAAAGAATATACCAAGATCATTCTTCCAAGGTTGATAAACATTTTTATATTGACTCTGAATAATAAAGTAACTTCATTAGCACACAGCAGATACCTCTGGAAAGTTGTAACTTCTTTTTAATCATGCTTACATCATATTATACGATTCATCTCTATCCTATACACAACTAATAAATATTTGATGCATTTCACCATAAATATTTGAACACATGTCAGGGTTTAAGACATAGACACTAAATCCATACACCAGCTACTAATAAAGTGATAGGAGAGAGGAGAGAGGGCATAACAAGGACTTGTGGTGATAGATTCTCGTGAGGCGATAATTATGGTCTTGTTTAGAGGGAGGCTCAAAAGAGGAAGGGTTTCCTTGAGAGGAGGAGAAGGCGATGAAGGTATATATAGAGGAGAGATAGGGTAGAGGAAGAAGGAGGGGGAAAGAGTGCAAGTAAAGGAAGAAGGAGGGGGAAGGAGTGTAAGTTTTGTTATAAAAAATATTTAAAAACTGTGAGACCCATTGACCAAAAACAAAGTCAAGTGCACATTAACAGTGAGGTAATGGTGGAAAGCATTTCGAACGTTTAAGGATAAAAATAAGCCATAGTTGAGTTTAAGGTGTTTAGTGACATTTCAGGTAAAGTTAAAAGGCAAAAATGACCTTTACCCCTATTTTATAATAAAAATATTAAAAAAATATAATACAGGCCCCATTAATGTAAAGAGATTTTGAGAAAATGGCAAGGTGATGAGAAAGAGAATATTTAATATTGAGAAATAGAATATACCCTTATTTAAGTTTAGGATGCTTGTTGATCCTTCATGTAAAGTCGAAAAGGCAAAAATAATCCTTACCCCATACCTGTTAAATTTATTCTTGAAAAAATCATTAATTACACGTTAAAAAAACTAAAAATGTCTTGTATATTTTGAATATTTAACCTAAAAAAATGTCTTATATTTTGGAGGAATAGAGTACATTCTTTTTAAAGAATTTCACTTGTTAAAAAATTTTACATTATACTATTTCTTTTAATCTTTAATAAGGCTAATTATAATTTTAACAAAATCATGTGAATTAAGATGAAAATTGAAAACTACTCAATAGTGCTTTTTATAACACATGATCAATGACTAGACCAAACAAAGAACTGGCCATGTGTCCAATTTGGAGCCCCTAAAACTAGCTAAAAAGTAGTCGATAAAGAATCAATTAAAACAGACTCGAATTGGGTTTTTTCTCTCTTTTTTTAAAGAAATTGATAATATAAGGAGTAGGTTTCATCAATAACAACAAATATATCTCTCAAGGTCCTAAGAGCAATAAACGAGAATCTCACAACTAAATTGCTAAAGGCATAAGGGATGTGGTATGAACCTCCAACTACTTGTTTAAATGACAATAACGTTTACCATGTTATTCAGTGTCTTTTTTTTATCTTTTGATTTGCTTTTTTAATGTTGTATACACATTTGATGATTTATTAGTTGTTCTAATTGGTTATGAAATCTTGTACTGATTGGTTGGACTAATAATCTTGCATACTTGATAGTTTTAGTTATTTCTAACATGTAGTGAATTGTACTTCTTTCGTTAAAAAATGTAATACATTTTTAATCAATCTTACTTCTTAATAAAATAGCTAATTATTTTCAAATTAACATTATCTTTTCATATTTACCTATATTTGATAGGGTGTTAACTTTAAATTAAATATAAACAACAACAAGTCCTATCTCATTAGATAAGGTTAGCTGTATAAATTGTACGACGTCATTGTGCTCCATTATTTACCAAATTTTTAGAAACGTTGTTAACTAAGAAGTCTCAATTAACAACTTTCAAAAGTATTTTCTTTGACCTTCTTTTACCTTTTTAATAGGGCTTAAAGTTATCCATTTCACTATCCTCATTGGTACCTCTCTTGATATTCTTTATATATGTTCAAACCATCTCAAACAATTTTTGCCATTTTCTTTTCACTAAGTGCTATACCCACTTTTTCTCATATGTGCCCATTTCGAAATTTATTTTTACGTGTATGCTTGCACATCCATATCAACATTCTTATCTCTGTCACTCTAACTTTATATCCTTGCTGTCCTGTTAAAGTGTAACATTTCGTATATGAGTTGCTCCATATTTCACAAATTTCATTGTCAAGTTGATGATTTAGGGACTCTTTTCATTTCTAACATTTGGTTTTCAGGAAATCTGATAACTTTTAGAACTTCATGTCATTTAAGTACATTTTCTTTAGTTTCTAATATATTTTGACACACTTGTATCTATTTTAGTTGTCCAAATTAGGAAAATATGTATCTTACTTTGGATTTGCACATTTGTTTTTAATTCAATGCTTTTGGGTTAATTTTGTGTTATTTTAATTTCAATGTGACAACAAAATGAAGCATTTTATTTCTTTAATAAAGCTAGAGTTTTGCACTATATATGACCTATTCCTTATTTTGGCTAACATTCTAAACTTTTTGGGAGTGTTGGCACATGGATTTTGAGCTTGGTTTTGAAGATTGAAAGATATTTTAGCTTCATATCTTGATTCTTCTTCTGCATT